ATATTCTACTCCAGTTTGAACGGAGATTGATAGTTAAGTGATCCACAACTGCTGGGGCAGATAATCATAGATATTTATGAAACCAAATATCCAGCATCTCATTTAAGGATTTGAATAATTAAGCTTTAAGAGGATTAATATTATATAGATAAATAACAGTTTACACTACTTCAACTTATAAAAGATCAGATATACCTACAGAAATCCGCATCTTGATCTGTTTGGTGATTATCTTTTGTCCTACTTGTTCCGATCTTCCATTTGATTTGTATATATTTGATAAAAATAACTCAAATTCAATATCTTCAGTTTTAATCTAATTTTCGAATACAGTATTTCTTATAATACTAATGACTGAAGTATTATTATCCTATTTAATACAAACTACTGATAAACTATACTTTCTGAATATCTAAGCAAGAAAGTTCTAGATTGTATCGAATACTTTAAAATGAGTTTTTTGATATAATGGAAAGCTAAAGATCTTTCTACTAAACATGTCCTTGATTATCAGGAGCCAGGATGCTCTGGTATATATATATGGAAAGTCGAATAAATCCCATTGAATTTTGTAGAAAGGATATGGTGATCGGGATTCACTAGGAGCTTGTAATATTATTTGCTTAGTATATGTATATGAGTAATCAATACACTCAATTCTAAAGAGTCCTTTTATCTTCATATTTCTTACTGAGAAGACAAGATATTCGAGTATTTCTTTATTCAAATGTTCTGATTGTTTATACCAGAATTCTACAGAATCCTTTCGAGGTTTAAGTGGATCCCTCAATTAGCGAAATAATTGTTTGATGTTGGTATTGATTGTGGGATACATTAGAAGATTTGGATTCATAGATATCATATTTAGATTAATCAAGTAAAAGAAAAGTGATTTGTATTCTAGAAATAAGAGGTTATCTTTATAAGTATAATAAGCGATAATATAATTGTTCTTAAGATTGCTCTTTTGTAATATAGAGTTTATCCCTAAAAACCATATTCCTATATCTAAAAGCTTTATTTCCAAAATAATATTGATATAAAATCCAGGAATATATATAACATTTGAGAAAACCAGATTACCTTTTGAATCTTAAGATCTTTGAAGGATATTCTTGATTGTACAAATGCCTCGTCCAACAACCTGAATTTTTGTTATTCCTGTCTCAATATAATCTGATACTAATAAAGATGTATATTCATATTTGTCAAGAAGATTGATATTATTAACGAAGTGCATAGCACCATTACTATCAAATATAATACTATTAGAGAGTTGATAGAGTAAATCAGAAATAGTAATATAAATCCTGTGATTTGTAGAACCTTGAATAAAACAAGCTACTGTTTTCGATCCAGGATTTATTGAATCATATAATTGAAAGGTACTACCTCTTAAATTGATCCATTCCTTCTGCTCCCAGACTTTGCATATATTCGACCATTGATCTTTCTTAATCCTTCCTCGTATATCATTGCATTCCTTTTCTATCAATAAGATTGAATTCCGGAAATCACATTTTCCAATAAATGCGAATTCAACTAACCAGCATATCTTGGGATAATGACTATCACCTGCCTTTCCATTCTTTCAATCAGATTTCGACTTACAAAAGTATTTATATCAACCAGTTGCCTTTTTGGAACCTCCTCTCCAAGCATTGCCTTACTTTCCTTACAGATTATTAGAATTATGCTTAGATTCAGAATTGATTATCGAGAATATATTCTTACCCTTGAGTACTAGAGAGTCCTGATAAACTAAACTACCAAAGATATCTCCGAATTGCTTCAAAAAGTAATTGGGAATTCTAAATTGATTGTTGATCTCGATTTGAATAAATATAATGCTTACCCAAATGGGGAATATATATATTCCTATAGTTTGTAGAAAATTGATGATTGCTAAGTTATTCTTTATTTCGATATAATATGATTTTGTAATAATATAAATTTTAATTCATTTGTTATGTTATTTGATCGGATCAGTTCGATCTATGATTGCTTGCTGAAAAATGTTTCGATATTTTTGAGCAATAGCAGATTTTGCTGTTGTGATGATAGGTGCAAGCTTATCCTGTAGCTTCTGAATAATCGTTTTGAGTGGTAAAGCTTTTCCATCATTGTTGTCAAGAACACACGATCAGATCACCATATTCTCTGATGGATCGGAACAGACCGACAAGGATGGTAGGCGAGTAGGATATGGATATGTCGTATATAGAGGACAGACGGTAGTATGCGAAGGAAACGGTGGATTGCATCACAACTCTCATGTATTCGACGCGGAAGCGATCGGGGCATACCGAGGCCTCCAAGCAGCGATCAGAAATATCACCGGCATAAAACAAATGGAAATCTGTATGTGCATCGATAGCACATCGGTGATATGGGGAATGAGAGGCACAGCCTCTATCACATCGCAGTGGGCTTTCCTCAAATGTCACAAACTGATGCAAACGCACTCGATCCAGATCAAATGGTCGCCAGGCCACACAGGGATCGAAGGGAATGAGCGTGCGGATGCACTCGCTGATAAAGGGACAAGAAAATCAGCCTCAGGGCATGCGAATCGACCTACAGCAAGCGGTATCCGCTCTATAGCAAAAACTGCTATGGAATCGGCAGCACAGGCGTGGTGGATCAAACAGAAACCAATGCTCTCCAAACAGTACCAGAAATGGAATCCAAGGAGCACAAACAAATGCCCTAATGAACTAGAACTCTCACGAGCTACTCTCCACCGCATGCTAGCGATCCGCTCAGCACACGGCGATTTCGAAAGCTATCACCGACGATTTAAACACGAGGAAGCAACGATCCATTGCTCATGTGGCGCATACAAATCCCCCGAGCACATCGTGCACTGCCGCAAAGTCCTTGCGACCTACGAAACCTGGCCCCCAGATATCAGGCCCAAATACCCACCCCGCAACCGGGCGGCTCAAGAACGACTACTGAAACAGCTAATGCACACACCAGCCAAGTTCGCTGAATTTATTGCTATAACAGACTTCTACAGGAGCATATGCCCTAGAACGCTACCAGAAGAATAGGAAGAGGAAATGGAAATGGATCGATCGATCCGGGTGAATACAGATATAGAATAGGAGGCGACCGATATAGCAAGGCTATAAAGAACAAAATCGATATATGCAATACTCTGCGCTGCACTAGAATACATACAAAAGCTACCCTTACAGGATAAAGCAGCTCTCAATCAAAACATTATATAAAAGATCGGAAAGCGCGCACGGAGGCGCTCAGAGGATCGGAGACAAAAGCGCAAGCGCGCTAGCTATCGCTTGGGAGGCTACTGAGGGTATTGAGACCTCATTTTTAGGAGAGGGGGATCATGTAAATTAGAGATTATCCAGCAGTTAGCCCAACCGTAATGCCCCCTGGGAGGCTCGCCTATACGGCCCGGTTGAAAATTACTAATAATAATAATAATAATAATAATTGTTGTCAAGAATAAGTTTTATAAGGTAGGATGAGTCCACTATTTCTGTAATCTATTTATAAATATCCTAATATAATTTATGTATAATATTGTACTTGTCCTTTTGATAGCGATACTCTCCTTGAAGTACAAAGTGTTCTGCTAAGATATCTTGAAAGATATTTACTTTAGATCTTATAGACTTAAGCATTAGCTTTTTAGAGAATTGTGATAAAGTCATCTTAGTATTTCCTTCTGAGTCCTTCTATTGAGATTATTCATAAGCATTAAAATCAACGAGGTACTTTACATTATTATTCAAATCGTATTTTCTCATAAGATCGACAATCGTAATAAGCTCAAATAAATCCTTAGTAAACCAGTCTTCTTCATCAATAGAAATCAACTAGTAAAGAGTTTTTCTATCTTTCAAGGATTCTCCAGAACTGATTAGAATAATTGGAATAGTCTTGGAATCAAATGATTTAACATCTTTCCAGATATTTTTCGATATACAGAAGTATTATAGATTCAGGAACCATCTTAACCAGTATCTACAGGTAACGAGTCTGGTGACTTCTGAGGAATTGGATTTAGATATGACGAGTTTGTAAAGATGAATAGGAGAGAGTATATATGAATCAGAGTGATCAAAAGATGTATATGAATAATGAGGGCGCAGTATGAATGCCAACCGGGCTCATAACTATCACGCTAAAAGTAATATCACCGATAGCATTAAGCTAATTGGGTTTATATAGGCTAATTCTATCGTGACAGTACAAGTATACTAACTATCACTTGAAAGACTACTAAGAGTATTGAGATCCTATCCCTAGGAAAAAGAGATTATATAAATTAGAAGATTATCCCGCAGTTAGCCCAACCATAATGCCCCCTGAGAGGCTCGCCTATACAGCCCGGTTGAAAATTACTAATAATAATAATAATAATTACTAAAAAAATCAATTAATATTCAAATTTATATTTCAAATCTTCTAAATCTTTGACGTTATTTTTAATAAATATGAAGTCTTATTATATAAATTTTGAAATCATTATAATGATATTCAAATTTAAAATCGATTTTTAATTTAATAAATCAAAATGTGCATGATATAGGGACGTGCACGATGTAGGGATATCGGTTAAACAGCGTTTTTTAAATTTTGCGCTCGAGCAGGCATGGTTAGACGCTGAAATCCCCACTCTTTCTTCGTTCTAAGCCGTTAGTCGCGGGGTACTACGAGCTTGAAGAAATTTTGGCTTAGGGTCGAACACCTTAATGACGCTCATATTCAGGCTTGCGCATGGAAATGAACTATGTTTAGTGGGTATTCCTCATCCAATCAATCATGTTAAACTAATGATTCCTGCGTAAGGATGGCTGCTACTCTCATTCGTAGATATACGCAACGCAAACGAACGTTTCGATTTTTATCACCATCACAAACTTTCTTGGTTTTGAAGAACGTTGCTTTCCATCTCTAGAAATCCACCGCCACTCTCCAACACTGCTCTGCTAGGCTAGTCTTTGAAAGTGAAAACTTAGCTAGACCTATTCTAAGTGCACAGTCAATGTTAAGCCCGCATCAATGAGCAAGCCCACGCCGTTGATGTAGGTCGCGGCGGAGCTACACAGGAAGCTGATTCCTTCTGCGACTTCTCCAGCCTCGGCAGGTCTTCCAGTCGATACTGCAGCTTTGATAAAGTCCGCTGTGGGAGGAGCTCTGTTACACTCTTCTATGAACATAGGTGTTGCTACCCAGCTGGGACAGACCAGATTTACTCGTACGCCTGCCGGGCCAGCTTCAACGGCTATGATAAAGAATCAGCATTATTCCCAACGTAATTCAAAGACCTGATGATATGAAAATTTACTTACCAGAAGCCTTGGTAATTCCTAGCAACGCATGTTTAGAGGTCACATATCCAACTTTGTATGGGACGGCACCGTATGACAAAGCCGATCCGACATTGACGATCGAACCACGTCCCAAGTTTCTCTCTCTGCCTCTAGTCGCAGCAACAACTCGGGGCTCTTGAGATGCCATTTGTTTGGAAGCGGCTCGAGTGACCAGGTAGGCTCCTTTTGCATTGGTATCCATTACCTTATCATAGGTAGCCTCGACGCTATCGTTAAATGGAATGTAGGCATCGACGTCAATCTAGTGAAATAGTCTATTATTAGCAAAGATCACCACTCAGGAGCTAAATCGAATATTATGACTCTTTTTACTGCCATTTACTTACACCTGCACTGTTGACACAGTAGTCAGCTCGACCGAAGGCTTTGACGGTAGTCTCAATCAAAGACTGCACGCTTTCTGCCTCTGTTACATCTACTCCTATGGCAAGAGCTTGATATTTGGCATCTGTAGCAAGCTTTTTGCTCTCTTCGACGGCCTCTTTGATTTTGGCTTCATCGATATCCGCAAAAACAATAGCCGATGCTCCAGCTTCGGCCAAGGTGAAAGCAGTCTCTTTCCCGATTACCGACCCAGCCTGGTTGTCGTGTTAGCAAAAGCAGTCTCAAGTGATTTTGGTAGACTCACCCCGGTGATGAGTGCAACTCCTCCGTCTAGTTTGATGGCACCCATTGTAATTTTGGAAAGGGTTTCAGGTAGGTGAGGTTTGTTCCTGGTTTTCGATTTGACTTCCGTTTTACTTTTACCCTGTGTTCAAGTTTCCTGACTTTATCTGAGCTGAACTGTGCAGGCAAAATTCACTCGGTGTATCCAAGTTGGTTTGCTACTGTGCACCAGGGGTCATTTGCGGGCATATGCAGCCACCGGAATTGGTATTACTTCCGAAGAAAAAAACTAAGATTCTTACACAAGGGGTCCTAAAATGTTGACCAAATGCAGCCGTTTGAGTTGCATCAGTTGCTATAATAATGGTGAAAATCCCAAACCTGGTTAATATTTCATAACCATAACCCTCTTAAATTAAAGTTTAGTAGAGAATCCTTCATGGAAAGTTTCCTTGTGGCATTTAGTCACATAAGTACATACTATCTTGGTATGATAATCCTACTTTTTTCAAGCTACTTCAAACCACTGGATACATACCAAAATCTTTCTGCAAATTGCGCTGTCACGTTACTTATTTACAAGAGTCCAAGATCATCATATTATGGCGTCGCCATCTCAATTTTCCCCAGATATGTTCAAGCAGAATCTGGGGCCCGGAATTCATGCCTTGTCGGTTGCTATGATATTCATTCCAACTGTTGCAGTTTTGTGGAGATTCTGGGCACGTATTCTCTCTTCCGGAAATACAACAAGCCGTAGGCTTTGGTGAGATGATTGGGTAGCTCTCGCAGCATTAGTAGATCTCTTCCATCAATATCCCAAAGCGAAATTTGGACTGGCAAAGTTGTCAAAAGCCCTTCTTTATTGCATTCAACTCTCTCTGTGTATACGCAATCAACGTCCAGTAGGTACATGGATTGACGGGACACTTCCCAACTTTCGAAATTTCTAATTAATTCATTCTTCAATTGTTTGATATCAATTGTTTGATATCAATTGTTTGATATCAATACTTATAACTTGGTTGTTTCAAATCCATTGAATGAATGTAACAAGTTTGAAGATATTTAATTTTATATATCAAGAGATATTCACAAGTCCATTTTTGTAGTGTCCTGTCAATCCGTACACCCACTGGTGGTCGGACTCGATGAGCATCTTCAGGCTCTCACACTCGAACAACTCGGCATCATCTCAAAATTGGTCTTTGCTCTTTACTTCCTCTATGATACGGGCCTTATATTAGCAAAGAGCTCTGCCAGGAGTATAAAAAATGGCAGCTGACATACCTCGGGTAAACCAACAGCCCCCCAACCAACTTGATCGAAAGATCTCGAGCTCCAGTTGGGCATGCGAGCAATCAATATTGCGGCGTATTACTTCGAAATGAGGGGAAATGTCACATAATGGGACGGCGACCGATAGATATGGGGATCTAAAGAGGGTAGTGCATACGGCACAGACAATATCTTCAAGATATGTGCTGTGGAATGATAACGCCAAGAGGCATAGTGGTCTTCCGTAACTTTACGGTATATCCTTCATTCCCATGTCTAAAGCTCCAACTAAGAAACCAATTTGTTGAAATAGGTCACAGTGGGGAATGAATTGATTGAAGTTTGGGTAGAGTTTATCACATTGTGGTTTGACTAAAGAGAGCTAGAATGTGGTTGTGCCCTGCAACTACCTTACGAATTGACGCTAGTACCAATTATATAGGCCATAGCGCCAGCACTGCAAGAAAGCTTCTTTCGAGGATGGACGAGTCTTGCTTGTGGGGGACGGGCTTACATTGATGAGGTCACATACTGCATTCAGTACAAGTCAAGCTCACGCAGGTTCAAGATGCTTAATTAACATATCTTGATGTCTACACGATTTCTTCCATGAAACTTGCCGTAAAATCTTGAAATTCTTGCTGTGAGAACTTTGTCTTTTGAAGTCTGTATTTTCTAAGTCTCGGTTGTTCCAGTATTGTCCGGGCACAAAGAATTTTACGTTCACCTGGTTTCTCGCTCCTTAAAACACTCCCAGAAGAGTACTTATGGCGTCTTTTTTGGGAAAGTTTCGAACAGATCACGTAATAATTAAAATCGTGACAACCAAGACTACGGGTCGTGATCATTAGAATTAGAAAACTCATGATGTGGGGAGAAACTCTTGATAGGGGGGAGAGGAGAAGGGGAGTCTTAAAAGAGAGAGGAAAAGGGGGGGGCTCAAGGTGTCCAACAGTCCGGACTGCAGTCCGAAAATGAAGATTATCAAATCCCCCAAAACCAACATTCAAACTATTTGAGATGTTAAATTTGATTGGAATATTGAACCATTTTTAAGCTTTGAATTGCTTTTAGACGTTCAAAGCCTTGTATTTTTGGATTGCAGTCCGGACTATTGAAGCATGACATCAGATTAGGCTATGCCCTAACTTCGCCAAAGATCACGAGAAGGGCAAAGTGGTTTAGAATTTCTTAAACCTTGAAGCTGCCAGATCCGCCCAACCTTATCATGACGCTTTGGAAATTGTGGGTAAATGGGACTGCCAACCAAACGAAATCGGGAAGAGAGGACATACGAAGCGATTTGATATGGATCACAGAGTTGCAAGATGGCATACCCAAGAATCATCTTGACGGCAAAGAGATGTTGCTTCTTGCATCCTACAAGCCAAGAACTTTAGGAGCACCATACTTTTATTTTTATCTCAGTGGTCAAGATAATGCTTTTAAAAGCATGATTGGGGATATTGGGTCGATTCAATTCACGAGAGATGCAATGGAAAGAATCGAACGAAACCTTGAGGATATTATGAAGGAGACGACTGCAGCCTAAAAAGCTCTGGAGAAGATCGGATTCGTTATTAATGGCAAGTTCCTGAAGGTACCCTCGAAAGATGAGCAGCTTGTGGAAGGGGCTTTTTGGAAAGGTATTCATATCACAGATGGAGGTAACCCGGATCTCGTTCCGGATTGGGAGTTTCTTAACCACTAACATAAAACGGCTGATGATCTTTTAACCGTGGTCTGTAAATTGGAGGATGGGCTGCCTGTCAAAATCAACAATGAGGAGAGTGACGAGAAGGAGAGCAACCAAGAGGGCAGCGGCAAGCAAGGAGTTATCTTGGATTACCCTTCAGAACCCGTATGCCTGTGTGTGTAGCAAAGATTTAGGCCGTAGCGGTAGGCTCCATAGACGTGACTTGATTTCGTGTAATTCATATTCTTCCAGTTCTCTTCTATCTCTATCCAATCCTGCCTGCTGAATTACGATAAATTGATGATTGGGAAAAGAAGCATTCTGTGTATGCGCGAGAAGATGCAGAGAGCTTGATCTCCTCATCGTGATCATATATCAACGTGGGGGTAAATAGCATGTCCTCAAGCTTCTTGTCATTAGAGATCTCACTAGCTATGTTTAATACTTTATTAAATAGGAAATTATTAAAACTAGAAATCCATTACGAATCATAGAATACTATGATTTGTAGTGGAGCTTTTCATTTTAATAGAATTAGCTGAATTGAACTAGCTCACAAATTCCTCATATCTTGATTCGTTGAATGAGATCGCTTAGCTCTAAGAATACGAAAAGCTTCAAAAAATATTTATGGAATATTTATGGGATTTGGACCTGAATTAGAACATGAAATTCAACTCGTTAGTTTGACTGTAGTGAGCTAATATAGGCTGAATTGAGTATAATAGAGAGCTCTGATTGGCTAAAAGAAGGTGATTTTACTCTAGAAACTTTTCTATTAATATACAATGAAGATCAAAATTATAAGTCTATTAAATTTGTGAATTGTATATATTATATAAACTATTAAAAAGAATATCAAACGTAACTAAATGTCTCTATTTCCTTATTATGCCAGGAATACCGGATTCACGTAAATCGCGTAAGCAGACATCGCTTATCTCTCTGCATCTAGATGACTCATTGACGAGTCGTCCTCCCCGTTATTTAAATCCCTCCTTCAGCTCCTAGTCTTCCTAGCTTCTTGATCCTTAGACGCAACATAACCAGGAATTACCTACACCGTAGTCTTTAGTGTGCTGTCCCCTCAATCACTTGTGATCTTACAACTTGAGTTACTGATAGTAATCAACACTTTTTGTCGCAAGATGTCTTCTCCAAATCCCAATCTCCGCACTAGAAATCTTATCCTTCGTCCCGCCGTTCCTTCCGATGCTGCCCCCATCGTAGCCCTTTTTTCTAACCCCCTCAACAACCAAATGAACCGCACACGCCAAGCAACCCAACGGTAGAAGAATACCAACGCCGAATCGCCAATGGGATGAACTACGCGCTAGTGGGAAAGCCTACTTTCTAGTCATTACCCGACGCCCAACAACAGAGACGGGATCAGCTTCACTACCCGTGGATGACGTTATCAGCTTCGGCGGCATCAACGAAGTCTCTACGGACGCCCAGGGCAAGCGAAATTGCGGACCTGGGTGTTCTGATTGACAGCTCCGAGTGGAGGAAGGGGTACGGGCGGGAAGCTTTGCAAGCCACGTTGGACTTTGCATCCGAACGGTCGAGGCGGAGGGCGTCGGATGTGAAGAGGCGTTTTTTGAGACATTGGCGGGGAATACGCAGCTTCAAGGACTGGCTGACCGGATGGGGATAGCGAAGTGGAAGCGGGTAAAGAGTGAGGGAAATGAGGTTGAATACAGGTTCAGTAAAGAGGAGTGGGAGGAAATTAAGAATGGAAGTGCTTGAGTAGGGCCACTGAAACGGAGACTTTGACGAAAGTTGAAACAAAGTTGCTCGCGATTAATGCCGCATGAAAGCCTTTACAGAAATGCCTCTTCTTACAAGTTACCGCAGCTTTAGAAACATTAGGCAGATCAATTTGCATGCCTCATATCGTCCGTAAGAAGAAGGCAATATCGTAAAGGATAATAGTGAGGCGGATATAGTGCCGTATTGAAGTGACTACCAACTCAGAGCGCCAATATGGTCCGTACAATATACCTTGATGAACGATTGATTGGATATTGTATTAGAAATGAATGTGAACGTTTGATCAGATTTCAGGAATCCTGATTATTTGATTGATCAATAAGATCCCCGTCAAGCGGAGGCGTCCGAGTTGGTAGTCTCCTGGTTGGTCCACTGGCTAGAAAGCCTCGGTCTTTGTGATGGTCCCAAGCAATAGCAGTAAAGTTTGTAGGAAGTATCGATAACCCTTAACGCCGTTATGAAATAAAATCAACATATGATACTCCGAGATGTGAAGTACTAAGAAGCCCCTCATCTGGCCAGGCTATCTTAATTCATATATTCCAGAATCTTTTGATTTGTATCGTGTTTTAATCTCATTCCTTATGCTTTTTATGGTATAATTCAAGCGCCCTCGCTTGTTCCACAAGATCTATGTAATAAACAATCATCTTTATCCACATCTTTGGCGCAATACTCTACTTGAATAGCAAGAGATTCGTAGTCACTTAGACGGGCATAATCTCGCTTCTCGATTCTCTCCCAGATTCTTCGGCGTGCATCGCGTCCTTCCTCCGTGTCGTTTGGATTGGGGGGTGGGAATCGTTGACGTTCCTCCATGAGATCTTTGTATATTCTATTGCTCCCATGATGAGAACCGATAACGTGAGAATGAGAAAGAGAACAAGGCACACGGCGTTGACGGTATGAGCCCATGAAGGTGAGCATGTAGATACTACGCATTCAGATAGAGGAGCAGAAGTCATTGTGGGAGATGACAATGATGGAGCAGTGATTGGTGATCGGTTTGGTGATTACAGAAGTTGAGATTGATGGCGTTTCTTGTATTGTCCTGTAGATGTATAGATAGATACCGAAAATTGGACGTCAAATGAAGAAACATGCAATTTTCAACAGCATCTATACCAAAGAAATATTGCAAGATATATATATATATTTGTGCGAACGCTAGGCTGGCATGACGTATTAAGAGATCTTCGCAACCAAGTATTTTAGGCTCCAAACTCTAAACTCTGACAGTTTAAATTTTTCTAGACTAGTATAGACCTTATGATGCTTAGTATAACATGGTGATGTTACTGATTTGTGCAGATCCATGCGGGGAATCAAGACTCATAGCACCCCCCCCATCATACGTTCCGTTTTCGAATGAATGCACCTTTTGGGTTTCGAGTCTCAAAGTATCAAAAAGGCTGGATTGCAGTCCGACAACGAGAAGCTTTCCTTGCCTGAATCCGATGAAATTATTCCAATAGTATCAAGGATCGAATCCATCCCAAACATTGTATTACTTTCAAACATTGAGAGCTTCGGACTGTCGGACTGCAGTGCGGAATATTGAGACCCCACTTAGGGTTAATAGGCGATATGGTGATGGTAGACTAGAAAGGGTGGGCGAAGTATAAAGAGCAAAACACAATTTTCTATGACAAATCTCCTCTATATTCCACTATCTACATTCGAGGCAAAGTCCTTGCATAACAAAAAATTCTCCCAGGCCCTTTCGCTACGTGTGGTCTGTCCGCCCTTTTTCGGTAATTCTTCAACAACAGCTTAGGAATCAGATGCATAAAGGGTGAAGGGTAATAGACGCAACCAACTACAAACTCCCTATCCACAAGCCCCGCCACCTAATAAGCAAAACTACCTCTCCTTCTCCTGCCCTCCTGTTCTCCTCCACTTCTACTTCCCCTTTTCCTCTCCGTTCTTTTCTTACTCTTCGTTTCAGTTCCAAGAAGATCGAGGAGAGTCTCGCCTAATCCACTCAATCTCTCGAAATCTCCCGCATCTCCGTCGTATTCATATCGCTCACTACTCCTGGTTCTTTCCCTTCGTCTCCGCGAATCATAACGTCTACCTCTGCTTTCATGGCGATCCTGATCTCTGGATGAACCGTGGGATGAGCCGAGTAAGGAACGAAGGGCGAGGGCAATGGCCACCCACCAGAGGGCTTTCATTTTCGTGGTCCGATTTGTTCGGATTTATGCTTTGGAAATTTGAAAGTCTGAGGAGATGTGAGAGTTCGTTTGTCGGTCCTATGATTATCTCGAAAGCGGGAAAATTTGACAGACTTGATTTTCGATGCTTGAGGGTAACGTGTTGGCTGGTATAAGTTTTGATGCGATAACGTGCTTTCCGGAAGAAGATGTATGTTTAACAGTTGAGAAAAAGATGTGATATTGTGATGTTGGCAACGAGATGTAGATTTGCAAAGATTACAGAGTAGAAAAGAAGAAATGTAATTGTGAGATTGTATACGCTTGAGAAGGACAATGTGTAACCCACTGGGAGTCAGAGTCGAGTCGCTTCATGTTTGGGGCGTGATAGTGAATCTGTTTATCACACCACCTCATTAGGATGCATCCTTGTAGTAGATTTAGAATGGAATACAATGATACCTGGCTTGAATAATTGTGTCGTGATATCCAATACTATAAGATCACAGTGAAAGTGCTAGGGTAGGAAGATAGAAAATAATAGAATCAATAATTCTCTTTCAGATCATGTATTACTTTGCCTACCGATACAATGCTTTTCATAAAAGTACAACATGATAAAGAGTTCATGAATCATCCCTTTTCCCTCAAAGAAATCTGGCTATGCCAGAAGTATAAACGCCCTACGCCTATAACCTGCCTTTCAGGGAGGAGGTTGCTCTCAGAGCAATCTGAACCACGGAGAACTGATTTGTTGTACACGATGACTGTTACAACAACAGAAAATGAATGGTGATACACAAAAAGGAGAAATTATTTACCAGCCAATAATATTCTTCGACGAGGAAGAAGTGCAAAAAATATAAGTTGTAGAACGCGGAAAATGCAAAATTCACACCAGACCAACCTTGCAGAGCATGTTGTTACAATGGTAATATAAAGCCTCAATCCCCCAAGAAAAACATCAGTTACTGGTATCTAACCTCGCGAGCTTCCGCGGCTGCAGGAGGCGGCTCCGGATGGCGAGGATCGTACTCTTCATAATAAGCAGGATCTGTATGTCCAACGGTTGGGCGTGCTTCGTAAAGAGGTTGCCGAGAGAGAGACTCGCCCTCATATGCTGCATAAATCGTTTCATGTTCTCGGCGGGCAGGTCTATGTATGATATAAGGACCTTGAGAATCGTACTGGATATATTCATAAGCTTGTCGGAGTCGAGGCTCATCGGCGTAAACACGATAGTACTCCTGGCGTGGAGCCCTTTCATAAATGATTTCTTCTTTTGGTGTCCGCATGCGATAGATGGGCTCTTGGCGAGAATTATGGGGGTCTGGACTGCGTTCGGCATACTGTCCAGCTTGTGCGCCCGCCTTAACGTATACTGGTGACCTTGAACGTGCTCGGTCATTTTCTAATCTGACACTCTCATATCGAGCATATCTGCTCGGAGTGCGATGAGCACCATGACTTCCCTGTCTCTCATCACGATAAATTACATTGCTCGGGTATCGTCGATCAATAATTTCAGGAGAACGCTCTCGTGCAAAGGATTGCCCAGAAACAGGATCCATATAATGATCGTTCGTAGCATAAGCTCGAATTTGTCGAGCTTGAGGAGGGCGCTCTTGTGTATAGTATCCATTGTAAGATCCCTGCTCACTAGGGACATGTGTAGGTCGAGCGGACATGGCTAGACCATCATTATATACTTTTTGAAAACGCTGTTGTGGTTCTGATGATAGGGGGCGCCTCTGGCGCATACTATCGGCGCGTTCTGCTTCCCATTTCGGCTCGATGTAATCCTCTCTATGCCGCATGGGTTGCTGAACTCTTTGACTAACAGCATCGGAACGCTTTTCGGGCTGCAAGCTGCCAAGAAATCGTTCCGCTTCATTGGTCGCTTCATCTAACGGTCGCTTATGATTGGCATGCGCAATCGTATCTGTTTGCAACTCACCGTCTTCGGACCCGAGCTCAGCAGGCCCTTCACGAATAGTAATTTGTTTCCCACGTGCCTGCTGTGCCTGCTGTGCCTGCTGAGAGATCTGAGCGACGACATCGAAGATACGGGTTTGTTGAGATGTTGTGTTCTCTAATGGCCTGTACTGAGTTTCCAACGAGTTTTTTGCAACACTTCCAGTGTTGGGTGATGGTTGTTCCTGTCGATTTAGTTTATGCGATTGAGAGTTTGCGGCTCCATACTCTCGAACGGGGGTGGCTAAATCATCGTAGCTTTTGATGGTTCGTTCGTAGCGAGGTTTGTGTTCTGCATTGTTTGCTTCTCGATACCTAATATTTCTATCCAAGTAGATTGGGGATTCATCATGAGCGGTACGGCGGCTATGACTTTCTTCGGGTCTGGCATAAGATACAAAAGGTGATGTAGACTTTGTGGGTCGGCGAACATTAACAATTTCATCGTGGATTGTTTGGCCATCTTGTTCGTGACGAGATGAAACGGCGATCGATGCGGGGTTACGTGATGATTGTCGTTTTTGCGCATCGCGAGGGTGCCGTGGATCATACGGATTATTATTGTAAGTGACAGAAACCGATTCGGTATTAGGAGTTCGAGTGTCTGCAACAGTGGCATAGTATTTTTCATGATTGTCTTGCGAGGGCGCAAGGGGTACAGTTATTTCCTGACTGGCATATGGCACCTGCTGCCAAATAGACGTTTCTTGATCTAGAGGCTCGGCTTTTGGGTGCCACGATGAAGCTCGCTGAGACATCATATCTTTTTTCGGTGGTGGTGGTGTCGCAGCAATCTCTGGGAGCGCTTCTAAAAAGATCTCAAGCTTTCGAGCTTCCATTCCTGGGGCAGTTGCAAGTGAAGAAATTTTCGCCTGATCGGGAAGCTCGACCATGTCTTTTGTCCAATCTGGGAAGTGACCTATAAGGTTCGAAGGCACTCCTTCCTCGTGTATCGTGCGGAAGTGCATGGCAAGTTGTGGAAATGAAAAATGTTTCCTATCGGGCTTTGAAGAAGTAACAGAACCTGCCATGCCTAGTACACAAGCTCGGCACAAAAGCCCATTAATATTTCGGACAGGTCGCATGTCCTTATTATTGGACAATCCATCAACAATCATCGAGAGTGGTGGGTCCTGCCCAAACTTAGAGCGAAATCTTTTTAACAGGTGAAAGAGGATTGTGTGTGCCTTTATGCTACCGGGAACTTCTTTCACGCCACTTATCGAGTCCCAAATAGTCCTAGCGTCGTGACCAAGCTGCCGAAGGTGGGCTTTGTACTCCTCGGTCTTTTGTGGTAACGAAGAAGCACGAGGTTGTGCTTGCTGCGGCGCGGACGCTGTCATTTGTGAGTAATTTCCATTGGTGTAAGCTGGTGGCTGATTGTACGAGGTAGGATGCTGGGCATTGTGGGAAACATAAGATGACTGTTGGACATTGGTATCCGGTATTGGAGTAGGATACATCTGGTTAGGGGGTAAAGGCGTATAGCCTGGCTGAGTTGGTGTAGAGTAGGGACCTCCATAATTAGACTGTGGGTAGTTTTGAACACGGTCGCTGTATCCTGGAGTTATGGCAGACAATGGTTGTGCTGTATATTGGGAATAGCCTTGATTCGGATCCTGGTACATTTGTTGCGGTGCATACGGACCAGGCTGGGGGGCTACATGTTGGTCTCCATACTGGGAATGGCCATAATATGGATCCTGGTAAACATTGGGGTTCGGTGCAGCCGAGGCAAGCTGCTGATATCCAGCATAACCACTATGCGGTGGGATAGAGGGAGCGGAACCGACGTAGGGAGCGGTGGCACTTGGCCCAGGAAAATTAGGAAAGACAGTTCTAACCCGGGCAATAGGATCTGGACAAAACGGTGGATACTCTGGCCATTCTGATTTCCAATGTACTACTATGCTACCAAAACTGAGCGAAGTGGTATGCTTGGCAGCAAAATGCTGAACAACGCCCTCGAAACCATAATACTTAAAATTGTTGTCGCAGACATTGCAAAGAAAAAGGTCCTTGTTATACTGTTCAGTGTGAGGTTTTATCTTTGTATCAAACACCCATTTCATATTTTCCAAAGTTAGCTTGCGAGTGTATGGCCCCAATGGAGGATCCGATGGTGGCTCTTGGCCTGTTGCCCGCACTGCAGCATCATCCTTGGCGATCTCAGCATAGAACCGTTTTCTGACGTAGATCAGGACGTCCGCGGCAAATTTAGGACTAGATTCTTTGGTCACTTTGTCACCACCATTCCAGCCAGAACGAATTGTTTCATCGGCATATGCACCAATCCGAGCGCGGAGTGGGGCCTGGGCATCATCCCATTCTCTATCAATGGCTTCCTTGTATTCCGTTTGGCTTGGATATCCTTGAAATGGCGCTCCTCAACTACTTGGAATTGGGTAATCCGGTCATTTTCTCGTTGCTCGGCTTCTTCTCTCTGTGATAGTAATCGGGGCTTCAAAACTTCCCAGGCACCATCATTCAAAGGTTGAATTATCTGTATAGCGGCCTGGAATGAACTCATATGGGCTAGAACATTTGCTGTCAGTGGAGGATCTAACAATAAGGATCTTCGTTCAATTTCAGCCCTTCGTGTTGCTTTCAGATCGGCAACTTCCTCCTTGGTCCTTTCATGTTTTGGCTGTAAGTTTGACCGAGGTGTATATGCAGAATAAATACTCTGTGAGGGCGAGTCGTACCGCGGTACCGGAATGTTCGCCGCTATGGCCATATAATCAGTTTCCACAGTATAAATAAATGGCATGGTTAGCAAAGAGAGAACTTACGGAAAGAAGTGTGTATCGCAGGCAATGATTTGGGGATCTGGGGCAATGACTGCGTGTCAGGCGTATGGTTTGGCAATTTTGGTCCACTATTTATCAATACTTGTTGCCCTTTTGTGGGGATAAAATCAGTGTTTGAAGTAATTGCTGCAGGTATCTGTTTTGAGGGGTCATGTTGATCTGGTGTTTTGATCCGAACAGTCCCGCCATTGGCCTCCCATCTTTCCCACCGGGCTGAATCGTTACGCCGTTCTTTACCACGATCTTCCAGACCTTTGAGCCATTCTTCTATCGTTGCCGAGCCCATAGCTTTGACGGATTCAAATTCATCTTTGATTTCTTCGATATGCTTTTTGAGATAGTATTTCGTAATTTGAGTAGTTGGCGGTGGTTGGCTGTTCTGCAATGCTGTTGCTGAAATGACATGTAACTCATTGGTGAGAAATACGAATGGCAGGGCCGGCATCAGCGGTGACGGAACTGATGAAGACAGCAATACATCAATCTCCTGGGTACGAATTAGTGAGCCCCAGGTGCAAACTAAAGAAAACGTGAGACTATACTTCATAGCATGTTTCAGAAGACAAATTCCACATGATCTCACTGCAAAAGGCCAGATGGGAATGACTCCATTTTCCCCTGGACCCAGGTGCCATTGGTCTGATTGAACAATGTTGGCAATTGAATTTTTCTTGCTACAGAACTGGCAGGAATTGGAGCAACACATTCTCCACATATCAAGTTCAGTTTGTCCAACTAAAGGAACAGGCATGAGAGGCTGAAAAAAACGTCTAGAGGCTCGCCAGATGGCATCTGGCTTTAATACCTGAACAGAAGATTTGGAAAGGGGAACAATGGTGCTATCTGATGAAGGATCAAGATATTTATTGAAAGACTTGTTTACTTGTAACAAGTTACCCAAAGTTTTAGGAGCAGTGAAAGTGAAAATGTGATGCCAAATTTCAGCTGGCAGAACAGACCGATTTAAATGTAATTGGCCCTCACTTCTCCAATGGTCCTGTATCTCATCTGGCTTTAGACGTTTGCGCATTTCCTCAAGGACCTTTATGTTGTCAATGTGGCCATTTGTACAATCCTCTCTGGATTCTAAATATTTCCGCTTCCTGGAAGTTTCCGGCTGGGAGGACTGCAACATGGGACCATTAGTTTTTTCCGGAATTTGGGCTTTCGAGTTGGATTGTACGGCCAGGTTATCCAAGGAATCTTCATCTTCATCCTCAGAATCTGCGGACATCGAAACATCTGAGGCTGAGTCGTCGTTCTCAACAATCGAGATAATATGGCTATTGGATGATCCTGCGTCTGGGTGGACGTTTGACATAGTAGGCTTGGGAGATGTCGCAGTGGATGTGTCTGTAGTAGATATACCTGTACTCCCAGAAGGTATATCGCTGCCTGGAGTATCCATTCTGAACCAAGGTTAATTCCTTGGTTCGTATTTGGAATGTATCAAGTCAAAAGAGAGAATAGGAAATTAACACTTGTCAACACTTTGCGGATTCGATTTCAAATCGCAATGACCAAGATCAATATACTGATGACTATGCGACCGGATAGGGAGGAACAGAGGGTTGTCGAGAATGATATCCTATGAGAATTTGGGTCCAAAAGGAAGAATTTCAGTCTCATTCGAGACAGGAGCAAGCTATAGATAAGCTATGCGACCGTCATTTGATAGAAAGGCAGGGATAAAACTTGATGTTACCACAGAAAAGAAATGGAGGTGCAGTCGAATATCTTGAATAAAATGATGAAGTGAAAAATGAACCTTTCCTCAAATATGTTGCGCTCCTGATATTTTATCTTATGTTCTTTCAATTGTAGTGGGTGGGTGAGTGTGAGATAAGTGAAGCATACATAGAAAAGTGAGGCGGTCGATTTATGGTTGGTTGACCAGAAATCAGATTCTAGTGGCGGTCAAAAAGATGCTCCAGGCGGGCTTATATAATACACATACAATGATTGTTGAAACATGACATAACATAACGACAGCTTGAACAAGCCGAGCACAAACCAATACAATACAATACAATACTTCCAAACATTCAACCTCTCACTCCTTTTCATTTTCCCTCAAACCATTTACCTCTTATTTAACCCCACCTCTAACTATTGCCAATATGGCAACTCTCAATACATCCACGAATGGCCCTTCTATTAAATCATCATATACTGGAGTGGTCAATTCTGCTGCACCCTCCGGAGCTGCGGCGTCCAGCCCGACTTATGGACAGTGGGCTTTGTTCTCAGTCTCAGCTCCTCTTGTAAATGCTTTTCAACAAGATAGTGGTGGAAAGGAGAGTGTGCTAAAGGTACAGAGCACTGGAGGTATGTTTGCATTATTGTTGTTGACTCCAAGCAAATCGTCTAATGGTTTGAAATCCAGAGGGAGAACTCATCGACTTAATCGAGGATTTCTCGGAAGGACGAGTTCAATTCGCATTTGTCAAAGTCAAGGATCCTAATACAACACTCCCGAAATACGTACTTATTGGATGGGTCAGTCATACAATTGAAAAGAGTGTTGGAATGACAGGAGGTCCTAACATAACCTACAGTGCGGTGAGGGTGTTCCCGAAAGAACAAAAGGCTATTTCACGAGCCACCTTGCAGCAGTATCCAAGATTCTTCATGTTCGTACTCATCTATCTGATTATCTCACATCTATTCATACTTATAAATCTATCTAGGGCTACCATGTTCAAATAACAGCTCGATCAGAATCCGACTTGGCACCAGAAAGTATTGTTCAAAAAGTAGCAGATGCATCGGGCGCGAAATATTCCTCGGGCTCAGCACCACCGCCTTCCTCTGGTCCTCGTCCCCCAACAGCTTCTAAACCAGTGTTCACTCCTACACGGTCGGGCGGTGTGTCGGGTTTCAATCCATTGGCAGGTTCGAGATCAAGGACAAGTCAGAATGACAACGTAGACGGAGATGGATGGGGCGCAGATGCGCCACAAATCACCAGGACACAACTTGAAAAGGTCCAGCCCGCATATAAACCCACAAAAGTTAATATGGCAGAGCTTACCAAACAGCCAACCGCTTCAAGATCCAGTAATGACAGTGGAGCAGACAGTGGATCTGCTCCTGATGTTGTCAAAGGAGGTTATCAACCAATCGGAAAGGTAGACATTGCAGCACTACGTGCTCAAGCTAAAAGCAGTGGTGATGATCGACCAACGATAGTTAAGGGAGCATACGAACCAGTCGGCAAAGTGAATATTGCCGCGATCCGTGCCAAAGCTCAAAAGCCTGGCGACGACGGTCCCAGGGCGGTTTCACCTGCTGCGACTGGCTCACCCGCCCCAAGCAGTGATGAACCACCAAAGTCTCTTGCAGATAGGTCTGCGGCTTTCACTCAATCAGAGCGTCTCACAACTCTACCAAAACCAAAGGTCGCGAACAGGTTTGGATCCACTGCCAGCAGTTTCGCTGGAACGAAAGCCCCAACTCCAGGAAGCTTTGGAATTCAGTCGCCAGCAGCCCCGGCAGCATCTGCTCCAATCGGTGCAGCCAGTCGAACATTTGCTGACGAGGGTGGTAAGACTCCTGCTCAAATCTGGGCAGAGAAGAAAGCTCGAGAAAGAGGACTAAGTGCTGCTGGCGATGCTCCTCCCCAGAACGTAGCATCTCCCATTGCAAGCCAGCCAAGTGGAGGAGGACAGTGGAAGAGTGGATATACTGGCAAATCTTGGGCTCCAGTTGCTACAAATCCCACCGGGCAGTCTGCTACAGGCAGTATCGACCAACAGAAAACTGGCGAAGCAGAAGCGGAGCAAGTAGTCCCAGATTCTCCAGCTGGAGGTATCAATGCCATTCGGGACCGATTCAAGGGAGGACAAGCACCAATGGGTGCACCAGCAATGCCACGATCAATTACTGGAGACCGAGATCAATCTCCACCACCTCCACCTGTCAACGCCTCCAGCAGGCCTGGTGCAGTTCCAATGCCTGGACTTCCAACCCGTCCTCCACCTGTTGAGTCTGAGGAGGAGGAATACAGCAGACCAAATATTCCCGCACCTCCCCCAGTTCCTCGCAGTCCTACACCAGAACCAGAAGAGGAACCAGAACGCGAGCCATCTCCCGTTCGTATTGCTATGCCAGTAGCACGTGGACGAGAACCTGAGGAAATGGAAGCGCCGGAGGAACTTCATGACCATCCAACTCTTGAGCAGGCCATTGAACACGTTCCCCAAGAGAAAGATCTCACCGAGGAACCTGCTGGATATGACCCTGCCCGTGGCGCTGCAGCAGCTGTGGCAGCCGAAACATTTGGACACAGCGCACCTGCCGTCAATGAATCATCCGCTGCTAGCGGTAAACGCGCATTGATTCAATACGACTACGAGAAGGCTGAAGATAATGAGTTGGAATTGGTTGAAGGTGAATACGTCACCAACATTGAAATGGTCGATGATGATTGGTGGATGGGCACCAATTCAAAGGGTGAAAGTGGTCTCTTTCCAAGCAACTATGTAGAACTCGTAGAAGATGAAGAAGAGTCGGCACCAGCTCCGGCACCAGCTCCAAGCCATTACGATGAGCCAGAACCACCTGCACCTGCACATGCTCCAGCTCCAGCTCCAGCTCCAGCAGCTCCAGCAGCCGCACCTGCTCACGCTGCTGGTCCTACGGCTACTACCTTATACGACTATGAGGCTGCCGAGGATAATGAATTGAGTTTCCCAGAAGGTGCTACAATTACTGATTTGGTATGTTTCGCTTATATGTTCACCTCCTTCGCTCCCCCTTCCTTTCAACGCATTCAAGAACGATTACTAACCCAGTCAATAGGAATTCCCGGATGATGATTGGTGGTTCGGTCACTTCAAAGGACACTCTGGTCTCTTCCCAGCAAACTATGTAGAACTTGACCAATAAGTATCTACATTGGTTGGAATAAATTTAAGCGAAGCGCAAATGCACATGAAGCGATTGACGTCTTTGGGAGGAGTACTTGTGATGTAGTTGAAATTGATTCAACATTATAAAAATTCAGGAGATTTTGTAGATGAGGGTGGCATGAATGGTTTTTCTAGGCAGTTAACTACAACTAGTGAAGAAGAAGAAAAGCGAAATAACGGTGGTCTTGGTCTCTATTAAATATAAGAGAACTGAAAATTCTTTCCTCGATGTTGCTGTCTAATGTTGTGTGAATTGCATTGTACATGCTCATTTGTCTTTGTCTCTCGGTAAAGTGATCAAGTATTCTTCGTTTACCAATCCATTGAAGCTTAAGGAGGATTTCTTGCTGCTGCATTTTTGACTGCTTCTCAGATCCTTCCACGTATTTGCCATCCACGGTGGCGGTCACATTGTGCTATCCATGAGTAGCAAAGCACGAAAATGAAATTATTCAAATCACATAAATTCAGACATCACACGAAACCCAGCTATAGCGCGTCAATTATTAAATAAAAGTCATTCATTATCTTATCTTAACCAACCAACCAACCCTAAAAACTAGCTGGAAGCAGAAAGTCTGTGATCCATTTGAAAAGAGACGCAGACCTGTAAGAACATGAAAAAACTGGATATGTGAGACGAAGGAAAAATGCGTGGGAAAGCCGAATTTGTTACTTCAATCATATGAATCTATGAACAAGGCGATTTGATTGTGGAAAACGAGTTGGGACTTCGGAGGGCGTTGTATCGTTGCTAGCTTGCGGGAGGGGAAAACATTATGGGCAAGTATAAGGCCGTCGATTTATTCGATTGAATCGCGATACTGGAGATGGAGATGTGCTGAGGCGCCAGTGGATTAGGCAATTTCGAGATGGCGTTTATATGGATGGATAGTAGCGGAGAATACGTGGGTTTGGCAGCGACTTGCTCTAACAACATTCGGCACCTGTGAGGGAAGAGTTAGTGGATTGTTGTTTGATTGTGGCGAGGTGAGCAAGAGCAGAAGGGTATAGGGAATAACATACATTCAACACAGAGCTCACATCCTTCTTCCATTACGCAACAACAACAGAGGGCTGCAAAACAAGCACCGAGACAGCCTTGTCCACCCCCGGAACTCTTTGGAGGAGGTTGTTGTTGATATTGCATTTGTTGCTAAAGAGATAATTATTAGTTCAAAGTACTTTTAGATACGAGCTACATTGCATTGTATCATGCGACGGTGAAGCTATCTCGGTGTTTCTCGGCATTGCGACAGCGCTGAGGTATCGAGGAATTACAGCCATCGCATTATACAGAACAGTGTATCGAATAGAGGATGTGCGAATGAACTCACAGGTGGAGGGCCTTGTTGATAGTAGCCTTGTTGTGGTGGTGGTCCTCCATAAGCCTATGTATCACATCAAAGTCAGCTTCTTCTTCTTCCATTCCATGTGCCAAGATTATCCAAGAGATCGCAAGGAGATCGATATAATGGTGACAATAGAGGCGAAAACATACATTGGGAGGATACTGAGGTTGACCACCGTATTGGGGTTGTTGATTGTTGTAGTAACCTTGGTTCGACATTGTATTAATCTATAACGAGGAGGACAGAGTCTTTGGTCAGTATTTGTTTCGTAAACGTTGAAGCTGTGACGGAAAAAATGCGCAAACTTACGGAGAGAGGTGATTGATGCGATTGATTGATTGATAGAAAAAAACAAGTACAAGTAAACGATGCGAGTGAAAAAGTTGACGTTGAGAAAGAAGAGAGGCCAAACTTCAAAGTTAGATTAGATTGGATTCATCAATAAGAGCTAAAAATCGGTAGAACGGAGGAAGGATGTTCGTTCGAGACACTGCCAAGGAGGGAACCAATTGGGTTGTACTCGCTATAAAAATGCCTAGTACCTAATCGCTGACGAGTGATAAAAGATCGAAATAGAACATTAATACCACTGACCTATTAATTACGCCAAGTTATTTGGAATTTATTTACTTTGGAGTGGATGTGAATACGCAGTCGAGGCAGTCTCGTTTCTTCTCTCTCTTCCTCTTATTAATAATAAGCTTTGAGGCTTTTGATGCTTTCAATGCTTGTGAAGTTTAATATCTTGCCCAGGTGGTTTTGGATCAGAGAAAGACTTATTAGGTCGAGGCAACGGTCTCAGGATGGCTCGGATGGGTAATTATACGATTTATACTCGTAGGTGCGCACTCTTCAAAGCACAGCCAGTACCTTACATTTGTATCAGACAGTACCTAGCTATAGGGTAATCATTTCGCAGTTTGAAGTCATGCAAGTCCGTCTTTTTTGATTGGCTCGACCGGCTCAATATGCAGCATGCAAATAGAAAGAAGGCGCAGATCAAACACCTCGTCAGCATGGCTCAGCAATTGTGGCCCTTTTGTTTGGTACAATGCAGTTACCATCTGATGCGCCAACCCGGAACACGGCCATTGTTCCATGCAACTTCTGAAAGAGATTTGCTATTTAATACTCTGAACAGCGATCATTCAGCTTCCCCTGCTTCCAAATCCCCCAATCTAATCCTTATAGGGCGTGAGTGGTCCTAGTATACGCTTAATACGCTACCTCAGCCACCTTTCCCCCGATCGTCACCTTCTCAAGAGTTCCATTATATTATCGTTGCTGCTGGTTTTACTTCGTTTCCGTCATCCGATCTTGTGACCCAGATTGATACTGCAGAATAATCCTTGACACAAACCTTGACTCTTTAAAAGCAGCAGCAACTTTTAGTATTGTCAGCCACTTTGACCATCCCCCTGTATCCGTCACATATCCGACTTGGCTTCAAGATGTCACTCCAGCTGCCAGGGTACCAGCAGCTTCGCGTTCTCCCCCTTATCTACTAGGTATACAACAAGCTTGCTGCGTGGCGTGCAAGTTTGTGCTTTTCCAATTGCAAAGTATTGTGGTATCCGTCCACGTGCCGTCCTACAATACACGCACCTTGCTGTGTACGCGCAGGTATGCAGTGGAGCACCAGTGACCTGGGGAAATCGAACATTAATCTTGCAATCGCTGAAAATCCATGTCGTTTTACGCTATCCGTTGAAGGTCTAGTTCAATATTGATCGTCCTGGGGTAGTCCTAGTTTAATACTACGGCTCGTTCGTACTTCGTACATAAAGTATCGATAACTCAAGAAACGAAGAGCCGCCGTGTACTATGTGGCTGACAACCTGCTCTACGATTATCGTTGCAGTAAACACATCATTGAATACCGAGTGCTCAGAGAGTATTCCATTTCCTCAGAGATTGAACAAGAACTTTGAGGGACACAAGTCGCTCTCATAGTAGTCGAAGTGAAAGAGCAGGACACCCTGAAAACTTCCAGACTGTGGTATATGAATCAAATTCCCTCTCAATCTTCCACATACGACCATAGATTGAGAAAATTAGGGCATCCCGTCCGCTCTGCCATACTCAAGACTCAAATCGGTAAATTAGTAGTTGAGTGGGTGACCATCAGCGAATCCTTACTGTTGTATGTTTTTAACTTTTGGCTTTTGCTGTGTTGGTGGGTGACAATGTCAAAGTGGGCCACGGTTTTTGCGATACCCATTTCATGTGCAGAGCCACGTTTGTCAAAGGCTGGCTCTATTCTTCACTTCAAGGCCCTCAGATTTATGCAGTCGTTGAGCATTGGAAGTTCATATCTATACCACGATGGTTGTTAGCAGTGTTATGTATTAGGAAATATTCTTTTACATCTTCCAATTTCTTGTCCACCCAAGGCATTCAAGAGAATGTCTGTTTCGTCCATCAAGCAGAGTCAATCTTGTGGCCTAACTAGTCATTCAATATCATGACAAGTGGGTTCTTTTTCATGAATATCACGGACTACGATCGGTGCCTTGTCTATGCAGCATACGGTGAGCTGGAATCAGTATGTCACTGACCCCCCATAACAACGACAAGTTGAGGCGTGGCCATTTAAAACATCGAAAACAGTACAATTTTTGTCATGTCCAGACATGTGGATTTGAAACGGATTGTCCGGGGATCACCAAGACTCGAATTGAGATCACTCGCTGAAAATTTGAGTATTCGAGAAAGGAAAGGTCCGCTGATTTCATGATTGCACGAAAGAGAAAGTGTAAGCTGCTCAGGTGCGGAAAGTTTATCGGAAGTTAAAACAGATGGACGATACAAAGAGAATGAGTTGACGATCACAGAGACAGATCAATTCAAAAAGTTCGGGAGACGGCACCTGGGAGACGGCACATGGAAGTTGGAACTCGGAACAGTGGAAGAGAAAATCAAAAACACCTTGGCCCGAACTACATCCTCGTCATCCACATGGCAACAAGGATTTAGAAGGACAACCTCAGAGCTAGCTTCGAGTGCGTATACTAACTAGGTAAGTAAACTTTGAAATTGGTTCGATTAAGGTATGGGATCAAGGAATGTGTCGTGAGGCCTCCAAATCGTGGAAATGAGGTTGGTGATGTCTTGGCATAGATGGCGTATCCTCCCAGATTAGCTCAAATCTGAGTGTGGATAGTTCAAAATCTCGAAACCATATAAGCATAAAGTAGGAACAAGACCAGAGACTTTAGTATTCTGTATAGTAGTGACCGGTATGTACGTAAGTGAAATCGGTACAGGTTTGCTCATATGATGTTGGAGAAAGGCCGGGTGATGATCACCTTGAGTGTAGAAAGGTTAGTATCTAGGTATCGTGGGAATAATCTTCACCGGGAGAAACTTCCAAAATAAAAAGTTCATCGGGTACTACCACCAACGAAGCTCGTTGGGAGCATAGCACACACATTTTAGCTTGCAAAAGACTTTTATGCTGGATCTCATGTTTTCTATGGTGCTCCGAGAATTAACTTCTAATTCCAATATGCACCATATAAACAATTTCAGAGAGGAAAGATATTACTACGATACAGCAGATCTCACAACAAACCAATCATGTTGGATTATTAATCATTTTTGTAATTGTCCTTTTCCTATGGAACGATTGAGAAATTTGTCGCTTGGGATGACGCGATGAGGCTAGCCATCTTGATAGCGATTAGAAAATATATCTCCGGCCTCGCATCTTCACTCACCCATCAATCAGATCTATTTTAACTAAATCTTCGTCTCTTCATCATTGATTCGACTAACATTTCGATACCTACCTACTTTCCGTAAACTAAACAAGAGAAACTCTATACACCCCACGATTTCTTAAACAAAGCCACGAAACTACCCCCCACCAGCAACATCCACCCCACCACAAACAGAGAAAAGTATCAAGATGTCAACTCTTATCGATATCACAACAGAAGAAGAATGGCAGAAGCACACTGAATCTCTGCCATCATCGACTCTGCAGATCATTAACTTTCACGTATGTCTCTTCATCCACTGCCCCTCATCCGCCCTCTTCAAACCTTGACTAATGCGACAAACACTAGGCACCATGGGCAGCACCATGCGCGCAAATGTAAGACTCCCCCGGATTCATCGTCATCAACCCCTCTCTCCTACTTTAGCTTCGCTCCAGTTTCTCCCAGTTGCCCACATTATCAGACGACCATACTAATTCCCACACTAGGACAACGGTCCTCCGAACCCTCGCGCTATCCTATCCCCCAACTACACCCCTAACCACCTCATGGGTTTCCATGAATGCCGAAGAAGTTATTTCCGTCTCCGATGCCTTTGACGTAACCGCGGTTCCATACCTCGTCCTCACCCGCAACAATGTAGTTCTCGAGACCGTCTCCGGCAGCGACGCCACCAAAGTCCGCAATGCCATTGAGAAACACGCCAACTCTCCCTCCACCTCCACAAACGGCACATCCGCCAAGCCCGTCCCCAGTATAAACCATGCCTCTACTGCGCCATCAACCACCGCACCTACCACTTTTACCGAATCCGAAGAACCAATGTCTAAAGAAGATCTCCACGCTCGCTTATCCAATCTTGTAAAGGCAGCTCCTGTGATGTTGTTCATGAAAGGAACACCTTCTGCACCCCAGTGCGGTTTCTCTCGTCAACTTGTCGCTTTACTGAGAGAAAAGTCGGTAAAATATGGATTCTTTAATATTTTGGCCGATGATGAGGTAAGGCAGGGTCTTAAGGAATTTGCGGATTGGCCTACTTTCCCACAATTGTGGATGGATGGAGAACTTGTTGGAGGTCTGGATATTGTAAGTTCTTCCCTGTTTAATGTTATCCTAGGAGGGAAATGGGACTTGAGCAACATGTCCCGGTATCCATATTCCCAGGCACTCAGCCTACACATTGGTGGAATACATTTCTAACTAAATACATTATAGGTCAAAGAAGAAGCAGCAAATGATCCGGATTTCTTCACTGCATATAGTGTCGCTAAACCGGCAGCAGCGGCGTAGAAAAGGAGAAGGTTGGGAATTTGATAATATCGGACACTAGGAAAAACCAGGAGATATACCCTATTAAAGACACTTTTTGCGCAGGACTTCATGAATTGCTGCACTGTGATCTGCATAACGTGAGAAGTCGATCTTATAATTTATGATTTCGAAACTATGTTAGTGTATTTTGGACAAAAGAAGTTGATAAACAGACAAGTAATGATCCTTCCCAGTGGAATGGATCGTCAACTCTTGGCAGGCTTCAAAGTAAAGCTCACTTTAATCATCCATCGCGTATTTTTCCCTTTATTTGCACAAAGACAAGACACTATAATTCCAAGGTTCCCAGAATTGTTCTAAAGCATATGAACATCACATCACATCACATCACCAGAGCAGTAAAAACAATAGTTTTGGGGGTTTCTCATCTATTTTTTCTCGTTTTTTTGGCACCAATCCAGTGGCCGAATCAAAGAACTCCTAAAAGCCTAAAGAACCTCTTACTCTCCACCCAATTCCCAGATCGACTATTACTATACATCATATACCCAACCTGGCCTATACACCGTTCTCCATACGCCCCCGTGAAAATATCAATAACACAACTTAAGCAAACTTTACTCCAACCTTTTGTTTATCCTCCTTATGTAGCGCGAAAAGGGTTTCCAAACCAAAGTGTACTCCGACCTATTTCCCCCTCACGCGGCACCGAAAGAATTGCAAAATCAATCAACGAAATCAAATAGCAAAATCAAATGTGTGATTAGAAAGGTTTAAGACGATACAACAAGTTGATTTTTACCAGTAGTAAATCCTTCGCCCTTACTCCACACAACTAGCCCCTTGATATG